TATGTGTTTGTTTTTCGCCCCCCGTCTTGCTGCACCCCCTGGGGTGTGGTGCAGGGCGGGGGATGCCTGGTCGGCGGGAACCCGGCACGGAACCCTCCGGCGTTGTAGGCGGGTGTGGGAAGCGTTCCCCGTTCTCCTTTTATTTTATTTTGATCGGTCTCCTCGACGCTCTTTCTCGTTTGGTGCGGTAGCTGGACTTTCTTTCTATCATTTTGTTTCTCTTCCGAGTGGTTTTTGTACCCTATTTTTTTCTGTTTCTTCGTGGGGTCGTGTATGCCGGGTTTTGAGACCACGGGCTCCCAATCTTTCTGTTTTAGAGCTAATGTGAGAAACAACAACAACAACAACTTGCTGTAAATCTCTTTTGGCACGACTCCCGCTGTTTGTGGACATCCCGATGGAAGCGTCCCGAAGGCACACAGTGTAGCTTAGGGCTATACCTCATGACCTCAACCGTGACACCTGGCCTAGCCACGCGATACTTGATGCCAAGTTGGAGCTACCAACATCTGATGGTCAATGGGCAAATGAACAATGTGTACTGACCTCGTATTACAACGCAAACCAGGCGAGTGACAGCAGTGCTAGCCGCGGGGCACCCAAGAACCTGCGACACAGCCGACTATTGAAAAACTCAATGGCGTAACATCAACTTCCGTGACCCCATATGTTGTCACCGCTTGAAATGTATACACCAAAGGCTGTGGGGATAATCTGCCTGCCGGTCTCCCTGTCTCTCCCTCTTTGTCTCTGTCTCTCTAGACTCGGCAGCAATCTACATTAAGGCATCCAACTTGTCTGTCCCTAGGCCACGTGAATATCTCGTGTCATCTCTCCCCTCATTCCCAATACAAGAGAACATCCACAGCACTAAAAGATACCAATTGGCCCTAGAAGAGGACCATCGTGCCCCTTGCATGTGATCGCTCTGACGCATGCCACCAGCAACCTCGATTCTATCAGGTCTATCATTTATTTATTTGTGTACCCCAAGTCTACAAGAGGCTCTGCAGGTTTCCAGAAAAACGCCTCGAGAACCCGGCTTTGCGGACCTCGGTCAATCAGAGTTGGTCTCGCCTCCCTCGGCTCACTCACACACCACACCACCACACTGCAGCCGAGCACTTCATTCACTCTCACACAGCCACTGTGTCTGGCCAAGCTACAGTAGAGCTTGGAAGCGCCCGTCGACCGAGTCTGCCCGCAGTCGCCTCAAACACAGTCGCCTTTCCGAGAACAGGTCTACGGTTGGTGTGATCCCGAACAGCTCACAACACCGCAGACAATGTTTCCACATGTGAGTCGGAGGACAGGGGGAGAGCGGGTGCAGTCTGGACCCACCAGGCTCAAGCCCACCCTCTGTCCCTGCACTGAGCACGTCGGGGGTGATTTGCAAATGTCAGCTGGTGCAGCGAGGCGTACATGGGGCGAACTCGTGTTTGATGCTTTCCGCCGTGGTTGTGCTGTCTCATCTAGTTTAAACTGTGGCTCGAAAACGCACCGGAGAGTGTTGTGTACGCCTTGGCGAGTTGGCCCCACCGCATGTTGGGTATTCCCAGGACACCATCATTCCGCTGACCTGGCTTATGGAATCGATGGTAGAGTTTCGCGATTGGGCGAAGTCATTACTCGTGTAGCGCAAGATGCCAAGTTAGACGGTTCAAAACAACTGCTAAATGCACACAGCAGCACAGCGTGTGAACACCGCGGATGTCCCCAATCCAAGCACCAAGCAAGATTTCCGTTGAAGCACACTGCTGGAGTGGTGCTCAGAGTTACTGAACCCTCGTTCCACTCTGAGTTGAGAACAAGTGCAGACCCAGCCTGGCACCATCATTCTCTGGCGTGCCGTTTTCACTTCATCCATCCATATCACGCCGAACTTTCGAGTGAGTCACCGTTGCCCCCTTCGGGCGATTCGCCCCCCACGGCCAGCGTCGCACACACGGCAACTCCATCACAACCCCTGGCGAGTCGCGGAGACGGCCTGCTCCACTGTCGTACACACACCTCATGCAGCAATGTACCGAAAGACAAATTAAGGTACAATGTGAAAAGGGTACAAACTTGATGTGACTGACAGGGCGGCAGCGGTGGCACTGATGCACGACGGAGAGCGGGTGACGCACCGTTCGCGCCCAAGATGGGCAAACCCAGCCTGGACCTCGTGTCGGTCAACCGCAAGGTGAGCAATGACAACGCGGAATCGCGAAGGTCGCTGCTGCTTTGCCAGAAACCCTCTCATTCTGGATTCACAAGCTTGCCTCAGTGTTCCAAGACACCGTCAGGCAGAAACGCGGGCTGCTGGACCAGTGCGATGCGCTCAACAGCAGCAATGATCGACCCCGGTTATCAAGGAAGGAAGTCGTTTGGCTACGTTGGCTGTCAGAGTACACTGAGCAAGAGGCGCATTCTGTCAAAGTTGTTCAAGATTTTGGGCTGAACGAGGAAGAACAGATGATGTCCAAACTCCATTTTGTTCTCGCCATCTACACGTGACCTGAGAACAGCTGATTGTGCGCACTACTGTTGGTACTGCTTGCACCACAGCAGGTTGAGAGGCTAGCGGCAGTCCCCATCATTTCATCTCCTCCTTCCTTACCTTAGTGCCAGTCATGATAATCGCTCATTCGAAAGGCCACCGTTACACATATTCTTGCTCTTTGTGAACGCGCACCGGTTGGACTGCTTGGCCAACCCCAAGACGGAGATATGCCGCAACTGGCAACAGGGCCGCTGCGTTGCTGAAGGTAAATCTATATGCACCCCGAAATGGTTGGTTGAACGCCGTAGGTTGTGTTCACAGGGTGCGTTCCTTTTCGACGGCGTTGTATGTTGAGCATATTCTGCACTCACAATCACCATATTGTCGCATCGGCTCCAACGCCGGGAAACCAAGAACCTGCGTCGTAATATACCTTGATTCACGGCCTACGCTAGACGGATGATCCGGTCAGCTACGACTGCAGAATCAGATCCCAACGCATTCCACCCTGCTGATCTGGGCGAGAGCAACTCACAGCTGTTGATACTGATGAACCACAATACTTCAACTCGGGTTCTTGCCACATGATCTTACACCCTCCTGGCTCTCGCGGGTGCACTTTTCCCGAACCTTGGAATCAGCTTGGAAGTGCGCCTTCGCCCACGGAACGCACGAGCTGAGGCGCCAGAGTCTCGATATGATGTAAGTTAGAGTTTCGAAAGGTTGTAAGGCAGAACCTCACGAGATTCAAGTCAGAGCCTCGATGAGATGAAGGTCCGAGCCGCGATGAGACGTAAGTCAGAGCCTCGATATGATGCATTTGAATCGCGATGAGATGAAATTCATTCATTGTCGCATGCCCGACCGCACATCAGGTTACAGCAGCTGAGGCATCTAAGTTTCCCAGCACAAGTCGCCACTCCGCTAGACCGTCATTTTATCCCGACCATGCTCAATCAATGTGTGGAGTTATTATCACGCACCCTCGTCGATCTGTGTAGTTCATTCGTGCTCCTCCGAAAATCTAGCCAACGGGATTGAATCTTGATCACGGGCATTTCCAACTCACCCAGGAGTGAAAACCGAACCAGGTGCACTGGGAGAAGCCCATATAAAACTTTGAACCAGTCGGGGTTGACTCTCCACAGGTCGTGAAAGTTGGAGTTCATTCGCTACCTCGTCAGCCCCACCGAGAACTGGAACTGCCTCGATGTATTGAATTTGGTACCCACCGAACAACAACTTCTAGGGTTGGGCGCCGCTAGTGTTCCTCGTTGCTGTAGTGTTAGGCTAGAACAGGCCGCTACACGTCGATTTTTGTGCACCGGGCTCACGAATGGCTCACGAATGGTATTCAATGTCGCTTAGGCGTGAAGTTCTTTTCACTTCAAGATTCACTTATATAGTGAAGATGTGGTGGCGAAAAATGTTCCCAAAGTGGTTCGTGAAAAGCTGTGTTCTTGAACTACATTCAGCCCAGTGAAAGTCGTGTATATATTTGCTTCGATGGCAGGGAATCCACCGGCCGGATCCCCAACGCCTCCAAGTTCCGATGCTACCCGTGCCTGGTGAGGAGTGGAGACCCTGGACGTGGTTTGAGTGGGACTCACTGAGACCCTGACCCTGAGTTGATGATTGTACAATAACGGCGTGGGATGTCAAGCAAGTAGAGGAATGATTCATTCGCCCGTGTACCACACCCTCACCGAGAAAATCTACGCGCAAGTGCCTGTTTCCATCCCGTAGTGTGGGCTGTAGGTGCGATTTTTGCACCAATCTGTGCCTGTAAACAAGTATCAGGTCATCGCCAGGTGAAAAGCAACGTACATTGATCCCCCCGGACCCGTCTACCGCTGCCCATTTTCGTACGCGAAAATTCTGTTTCCGGCGGTATCATTCACGCCTCTAGACCTGGATTACCACAGGATCATGCCCGTACTTTTCAAGGTAAGAAATTGGCATCCTTGGGCATAGAACGCTTCAGCCTGTCATCTGCAAAGACGATTATCCAGTGACTAGAACCAATAGATCGTATTTGAATTCCATATGTGTGAATAGAGTTAGTTGGACTTCACAGGTAGGAAGTCGTGAGGGTATGGGAGGTTCTTAGCCACGACAGCCGAAAAATGTGAATCGTGTCTAGAGTTGGCGCCGCTATGAACACTCTCGAGAATTGGTGCTCGCGCCGCGCATCAGGCCCTCAGCTATACAGACCAATCTCGAACGATGCAGTAATCGTAATGCGACGAACGTCCGGAAACTATTGGCAGCTTCCTCAACGTTCCTGACCGATCAAGTTCTGACCACACGGAAATTAAACCAATTCGACGCATATTGGTCACAGGTGTCATCGCACGCTCCAGTTTCACATGTTCCCTACTCGCGGGGACGAGTATTCCTATGAAACGCCGTCAATTCCGCAGAGAATCTCTTGTCCCACCAACATGCCAGGTGCGTTTTCATCCACGACCCCCGCATCCGAGGGCCCACCGCCGCCTACCTCTACAACCACCACGGCAAAAGGTCTCACTCCGCCAGGAGTGGGGGCAGCGTCGGATCCCCCCTCGGGAGAGACATCTTCTACTGGCCCGACATGCCTAGGACGGATGCCGATGGCAACGAGGTATAGTGGTGTTATCGGAATACTTACGTCGGTCCTTTGTGTAGGATCATGGGCGCGTCTGTATGAATGAAGGTGGCACAGCTCATGATCGTCGGCGTCTCTTCAGTGCATGAACGGGTCAGGGGTCGTGATGAAGGGCAAGTCCTGTGGAAGATGCAGCTTTCATTTCGGGTCTTGTGGAAAGAACGAAGTCGACCGACACAAACGAACATTGTTCTCCTTCGCGTTCTGTCGCGACAAACGCCGTGACAGACTATGGTCGCATTTGCTTTGCTCCCCCAGAAGCGCCTCTGAAACGACATTACTCTGAGCTTTCGCCCCTCCTCGTCCTCCACTCGTTTCACGGGGGATGGGTCAGCTCCCGACGGTATTGGTCAACTACGACATGGATCCCAGCATGCTCCATAGCGAGGACGCAACCGAAAGGTGAGAGGGAGTGCCTCCGCTACGACAAGACGAGAGGGTCACGAATTGTGTTGAAAAACTCAGCGATGAATGATTCTACAGCAGTAGGGTATTGCACGTTTGGGGTGACATCTCATGCACTTGGGGAGAAGATAATTTTCTGTAGCCCTGTTTTGGTTTTATCTTACGTCGAAACGCCGTAACGACACGGTGAGCGTGTCTCGCTACCTGAAAGTGTATCATCAGTTGATTCCGCTGCCGTAGCATCGCTCCAATGGAAGTGGCGCCGTCTCACACACACCCGCAAGGTTGGAAACGTCAAACTCATGGGCCATACGCACACCTAGTTTGCAAATTTCATCTCCAAGTGAGAGACGTGGCAGAGGTCCGACAACGAAGATCGACGCATGTTTTCTTCACAAGCTTGTCCTCCCTCAAATGCGCAGGGCGGTGTACCAGCTGTGGTACTCGCTAGTGAGCACCATCACAGAGATCAGTGAGCAACCACACACGCTGGTAGGAATGGGCCGCGCTTCTGAAGCACCCTACGACCCGAGCGATTTGCTCTTCAACGCACCGCCATCCAGAGGTTGGTATGCATAAAGTAGTCGCGAAGCCATGTCACTTTGTCGTTGTGCCTTTTGACCTGGGCCTGAGTCTATGCCTGAACACATGATCACAATTTAGGGAACGGACGGTCGATTTCTGCCACATGCGGTGATGTTGTCTCCACGTAAGGTACTCAAGTTTACCAACGGAAATCAAAGTCGTTGCCTGTGGACACAGTATATCTTCGCCTCACACGCCATTGATGTTCCGTGCATTCAACCCCGCATGCCGAGGAAATTTTGCTCGTGGTTACTACGACAGAATGCAACCGATATGGTCTGTATGTTTTCGCGTAACATTCTTGACTCAATGCTTACCTCTGTTCTTTCCCACGGCCACGTTCGTGTTTGCCTCGATTTTGGGTCTGAACTTCAACTCCCAGGCTTTCGATATTGTGTTGGTATTCCGTAGCGTTCATGAGTACTAGGGCTAGTCATCGGACGACCCTTCAGTATCAGTCGTCAGCGCGATGAAAGAGTTCGTGCCAATAGAATGAAGTGCCAAGCATGTCACACCACAATCACCGGTCAGACAGGGTCGCGTGAGCTCACCCGCCCATCAACCAAAAATTACTCGTGATGTTTGATAGTCTTACCAAGTGCTCTCATACAACCCCCCGATATTGTGGAAAATAAGCGGATAGAGTTTTTCCATGTGGGAACATGTGAAAACCAATAGCAATTATCCTGCTATTTCGTTGTTCAATTTAGGGTAGAAGAAAAATGGGTGGGACACGGAAATACGGGGGGCCCATATATTGGATAAGACAAAACAAATATTCCCGTCGGAATCCCCTATTCCTTTCACCACCGGCGACAGAAGAGGCGAGCTTCGAGACAGGTTCCTACTGCGACAGGATGAGGCCGCCCCCGCCGCCGCCGTCCCAGGTTCCTTTCCCCAACAACAACCGGTCCTGCTCCTCCTCTTCTGATTGGCGGGCGAACAGCCCGGACCGTAGGCTGCCTCTGTTCGTCCGCATGTCGTGCGCGCTCTCGGTCTCGCCGGCCCAAGTGCGCGTTCCCACTACCACCGGTTCGTTGGCGGCGGGGAATTCCTGCCACTTGAGTTTGGATGGACATATGTTCCTCTTCATGCCATACAAAAGTATCATCATTTCTGTGCACGTGTCGTGTGGGCTGCTGCATCGTTGGTTGGGCATCTCAAGTTGGATGCAACATTCTCCATTCGAATCATGGGCAGGACGTATGTCACTCTCCCCGTTCAAGTGCAGGTAGTGGAGCGTAGTAGAGCGCTGCATCTATGTTCAGTTGGGCCTTTCAAGTTGGATGCAACAATTTTCGATCGAATCACGGAAAGCAGCGCATCACCCTCCCTGTAAGCAGGCTGAGGCAGCAGCACGGTGTCCCCAATATTTCCCCCTCGTTCGTATAGTATGGGGTGGTAACAATTCGATTGGTTGAGCCGATAGCAGCCAAACGTGTACCTCCACACTACTGCGCATCTCAACAGATCGGGTTCTTGCCATGTTCGCAAACTAAAATGTTACTGCAAGCCTCGCCTACGTGTTGGTCTCACGTACTGCTGTTTCGTTGAGGCATGTTCGATCGCTGAGAGAAAATAGAAAAGTTACGCGGCAGATTTGACTGTAAGGAATGGACTGACCGTGTCCACAGCAGAAATTCGTTTTCAAGTCATGCCTTCTTCAGCCAGTCGATCGCCAAGACTCCGTACACTGCATACCCCACGTGTTTCTCCGTCTAAAAGGTCGTCGCCATATCTGGAGGGATCCTTGCCAAGTCTGCGAGTCCGCGGACCGGCTCGAGATATCTCCGGAGATCGTCCCGGTGACAGTCCCAGCCACGGTCCCGCGCCCACTCCGAGCAAGGACCGGCGGCGGCGGCAGCACCAGCGTTCAGCACGCACCGTCATCCTTCCCTCTGGCGGATATAGACCCTCGCTCTGCCTTATCCTTGGAGGCACGGACTCCAGCTAGGGCCATGAGGTACACGGCGATGCGAGGTGTCCAGACTGCTGTAGCACATCGAAGTAATAATAATTGTCGAAAACTCCACTCGACAGCAGTACTTGCTCTACGTAGAGTTAGTTTCGTATTTTTCGTAGTTTCCGTACATAGTGTTGGCACCGCAGCCAGCGGATGAATCGTTAGTCTAAAGACGTGTCTGCGCATAGACCGCGGCATCAGTTACGATTTACGAGCGTAGGAATTGAAGAGATCACAAGGGTCTGAAGGAAAACAAATGGTGTAGACTAATAGAACAAGCTTGTAGTCTAGGGCGACAAGAACACAGGTGAGGAATCCTCGACGTCAAAGGTACAGTAGATACATAGTCTAGAGTCGACGTTGGGCTACAACACAATGTTCAAAAAGAAACGAGCCCCTGGGCGTAAGCCAGAGGGCGTTTTGTGTAGGACATTTCGTTCTGAGAAAGGGAGCTTTACATCAACAATGGCCACGCGCTCCTCATGGAGGCAGTGCCATTTTCATCAATTTTCACGATCACATCGAGAGCAGAAAAAAACTCCAGCTTCAAGAGTGAATAATGTCGTCTGAGACTTCATGCTACAGACACGACAGGCGGTGATAGCCCCAAAGCGCTAATGCAATCGGTCTCGAACAATAATGGTCGAAATATACAGTCAGTGTGGCTCATCGTCATCGTCGAGCGCGTGAAATCAATCGCATGCCCATCAGCACAGACATACATGTCAATCCTTGCCCGCGCTGCCATGCTCCATCCACTACCCCCGCAGAAAAGAGCAACCAGTCTGGTGGCGGAACACTGCCACCGGAGTGGAGAACCAGCGGCCGAAACAGTCCACGGGCCCGGGGGGCGTTCCCGGGTCTCCTTGCCCTAAGCGGTCGACCGCCCCGGACGCCCTCGGCCGGTCAAGGGACACCACCACAAGGTCGGCCCCGGCTATCGCCGCCTCTAGCTGATCTCGCCTCCTTTTGGCGACCCATTTTTCGTGTTCGGTATTGTCGTCGTTCAAACCGTATTTTACTGCCTTCCGTGTGAAAAAAAATGTCCAAGGTTTCTTCTTCGCTTCGTGTTTCCTCGTCTGTGCGTAGGGAACGAACGTTACGTTTCGGACTCTCTCGCCCCGAGATAATGTCGATTTTCTGGTGGAGAAAGATGGACAGACCTTTGTCATGCTAATATCGTGCCGCCGCCGCTCGTCATCCGGACATTCTTGAGTAATTTTTTCACGCTTTGCCCACGATGTCACGTTGTCGTTCGTGTTGTTGTCGGTGTATTGATGCGCGTACTCCTAGTAGTACTGCTGTTGTAGACGATGCGTTGTTGCTGTTACTGTTGCTCCTGGTCGTGGAGGCAATGGCGGTGCCGCTGTTGTTTTGTTGCTGTCGATAATGTCTATGACGACCTTGCTGTTGTCGTTGCCGTTGTTGTTCTCGATCTCCGGGCAACCCGTTTCAGCTCGGTGGGGGTGGGGTTCAACACGGCAAGAGGCTTGACCGCGGAGTTCGGTACGAGGACGTCGCTCACCGCCCGGGGCGACAACCAGGCACGAGCGCATGTCATGAGTGCACGTGAATCAGAGGAGAACACTCCCCCTTCCTCACTATTCCTCGATGAAGTCGCACGCCCCGGATAGCAGGCAAAGTCGGAGAGCGCCTGGAACCCAGGCGCAGGAGAGTATTCCGTGGGCGATACTTCTGAAACCAGCAACTACTCTGTCTGCGAAAAACAACACGTTCAGAGTAGCTCGTGAACTCGAGGCAGTAGAGGGAGTCACGGTAGGTTTGTGCCACTCGGAATTCGTATCGGGACTCATGCAACTGTAGGGGTGCACGAATCGCTTGTCAGTTTCCGAAGGCAAATGCTCCAAATCTCAGCCTGGAATGACACTGACACACAATAATTGTAACCTGACGGGCTAGATGAAACGGAATTGAAACTCCAAATCATCATTGATGTTCGAAACTTATTGGGTGGTTGCTCACCTGAAGAATCTGACTCCGAAACGGCTATGGACTAGAATGTGCTGTCCATTCCCAATCCATGACTCATCGGTTCATTCATTGCCACTTTTTGGATCAGCTCCGCCACGCTTCCGACACCCGCATGAAGGAAGGCCAGAGAAACGCGTCCTGGGAGGATACGGTGCGCTCCGCGCTGTTCGAAGACGACGACGGCACCATAGAAACTTCATCGAAGCCGCCGACGCAACCTTCTTTTTCGTCCACGATCTCCGAATCACACGCGCCCGGGTTTCTGCCGTGGTACGACGGCACCTCGCCCTATGGCGACACAGAAGTGCAATCCTCCGAACCCCCTTTGTACTCTTCCGGGAGGGGCGTGGAACCCGCCCGCGGGGACTACCTGTCAGCCCCCTTTACGGGGACGTCGCCACGGAACCCCTCTCTCGACTTCGGCGCGGCCGACGATCGCTGGTCGGCATCGTCTCAGCAGACCTCGTTTTCGCCGTGCGGGGCGCCTGGCCACCCGGGTGCCAGTACCGGTGCTTCGAGCTATGTGTATGACCCCAGAAACCTTTCCTGCCAGAGCCAAGGTGGCGGTGGTGGCCGGGGTATCAGCGGCACCGGCGGGGTCAGCCACGTCAGCCAGACCAGGAGGACGACGACGTACCCCTTCGGGTCTTTCGCCGAGGGCATGTAATCATTCCCTTTTCCCTTCGTTTCGTTTCGCCAAGCCGGTGCAGGAGATAGACACGGGGGGGGGGGGGGGG